TGCGTCCAGTTCTGGGCACTGCATTTCAAGAGGGATGTGGACAACATGGAGAGAGTCATCTCTATGCTTCAGTCAATTTGGATTTCATATAAACATTCCTCTGCTTTCTGCACTTCACTTATACCAGGGGTGTCAAACTCCCAGCTCTGTAGGCTGGATGAGTTGTGCAGGGCCAGTCCACAGATCAGACTGAAAAACACAGACTGGCCTCGCACACTGGATCTAGCATATATCCTGGAGCGGCTGAAGTGGATGCCACATGCTGTATCTTTGACATCTCTGACTTGCATGAACCCATGCTAGCTGGATTCACTTCAACTTGTAGTTAGCTCTGTTCTTTGGTTCTTGTGCTCTAGCATTCTGCTTCTACACTAGAGTTTCCATGGTACATCTGGATTTAGTACAATGTGTGTTATGAGTTACAAGTGTCGATCCATTAAATTTTCTAAAACATTTTCTATTGATAGAAGCAAACTTGGGGCCTAAACCAGATTAACAGCTCCTTCAAAAACACTAGGAAAAAAGAGTTTCTCTCATGAAATCTGTAAAGATGTTTTGTTTCTAGTTGCTTTCTCCTGATCCCTGCTTCATATTTCAGTAACATGGGCCTAGTAACTTACAGTCTACAAAATCTTACGTGTGTAACTTTGCACATACTGACATACCAACACACCATCTGAACTCATGCAAACATATGTGTTAATATGTACTGCTTTCAGTAAAACTATCCAAGCTACTTAAAGTTAAGCACCTGTATGGTTTTGAAAGACTGGAGCCTAAGACAAAAAAGCCTTCTGCTGCCATCACTATTAAGGCTGATTTTAAGCTTGCATACTCTCTTAGGGCCATATATTTCTATTTTTACTAAAGTTGGTTGGTATCTGTAAGCAAGCTCGTGGGCTAGCTGCAGTGGTTATTACTATTTGCCATGGTTAAGGCTCCCTTATGAGATGCAGCCACATGCAGGTTTGTTAGGCAGCAATGAGAATTCAGCTGAAAAACACTGAAGGAAAGAACACCAGCTTTGGGCAGGAATCGTGATAGGAATAGGAATGTAGGCTGATATTCTCTGCCTATTTAAATTCATGGCCATCAGTGACTCCTGGAAGCAACCCAAAGCACAGCAAAGAAGGTTATAAAGTCCAGTCCACAATTTGATATTCATCTACTAACGTCACATTAAAAAGACATTAAGGCTATGAAATCAAGCAGAAAAAAAGGAAGGAAATCCACAGTGAAAGTAGGAAGGTAGAGCCCTTGACACTTTTTAGTCACAACCACGACCCTCATTGGAAGGAGTCATTGGAGTGGGGAACAAGTAGCAAATTTGATTTAGCTCTATCTGTGTGCTTATGGGAGTTTTGTCAGAATCCTGACAGTCTACCAAAACACTGCATCCCCCACTGGGGTCACTACAACAGAGTGGTATGGCAGGAAAAAAATAACTACACTGTTTGGCATATGAAGGGAAGAGGGGCAGTAGAAAGAGGCCCATTAGCATGGGAAGCTCAACAGAAGCTTGGTGAACAAGTGGCTAAGTGGGGCAGATGGAGAAGAGGAGATAAGGCTGATCGTGCCAAAATATTTGATCTCTCCCTTCAACAAGATAACTCCTTGGGTGGATGAAGGAAACAAAGTGGATATAGTTTATCTGGACTTTTGACAAAACCCCACATGATCTCATAAACAGCCTGTTCATGGCCCACCCTGCTACGTGGAAATCCAAAAGAGGAAAATCCACAACTAATGTCATTAAAATGGTGACTGAACGCCCAATGGCTTCCTGATTGATGAAGCAACAACCATGGAAATCAAAAAAGCCGTTTAAGAGTCTTTTTAAGGGTCCTTTTAAGGGTCCTTCATTCAGAAGATTAGGTCCTGGGACACAGATCTGCCAGCTGAATGTTGACAGTCTCTTGAGGGTCAAATGTGACTATCTGGGGAAG